ATAAGAGATAAAAATATTTTGCTCATAATTCAATTTTAAACACCTCCATTGCCAAATCGGAGCAAAAAGATCGACGAATTGACTGAAAACTGCGAGCAAAGCCCAGCGGTGGCGGCGCAGAAAATTTCAAAGAACGCATCTGATGAGACCCTTTCTGATTCCCGTTCTGCGTAATTCTTTTGCCATTTTAACCACCATTTTCTTCTCTACAGGTTGACCGAAACAAAACACCCAACCGCAAAGGTGAGCCGGCGAAATCGCTGCACCATAGAACCCCAACGCCGGAGAGTTTCAATTTTTTATTTTTTGGCTAACTGAGGGCCCTTAACATATTTTCTCATAGGGAATGATGCAAAATTGGTCAAATTTGACCGAAAACAGCCGACCCGATGCAAGCCACCGCTGCAAGCAGCGACGCCGTCGCCGGAGCACGGCGGAGCCGCCGTGCTGGAATTCTGAAATTGACTAAAAGGAGGTCCTGACACCGATTTTGGATTTTTGGGATATTTGTAGGTACTTATACCACGCTTTAATTCCCGAAGAAAAATTTAGAGAATTTAGGGACTGCCAGTATGCGTAGTCAACAAGTTTAGCTTTTCGGACATCAATTTGAATAAGAATCTCTAATTATATTCTCTGTTATGGAATTAAAGTCAAATTAATAATAATACGGTATTTTGTGCAATTTAAAAAATACCCATAATTATTTAATGGTTACTAATGAAGGCAAAATCGAGAATTATTCACTGTTGATTCTGTTGATTGATTTTACAGTTTAAATGCATGATAGTATCTGATTGATCAATTTTATAGTTTTAAATGCATGTATTGTTTGTTTTATGTAATTACGGCTGAATTGGAAAATTGAGGATTAAAAGTAAACGAAAAACTGTGTGATTAAGTGAATGGACGAAACAACAGCTTTACTGAATATCCTGGGAGATGGTGGACGGATCGGATACATAGGGAACTCTACTGTGAACGTAGTCTTATACCGGACAGGGTATCGATGTTTGGTAATTTGGCACTCATACTGAACGGGGTATGGAGACATCCTGTTTCACCCTCATAGTGGATGAGGTATTGAGATTTTATAATTTGGCGGTCATATTGGACGGGGTATGGGGACGGTCCGTTAATTAAAAATGTTAAAGGAAATAGTTTACGCGTTGTGGGGACATCACTATAAATTCTCATGAATACTAGTAGGCTGATAAAAGAGAAATTATTGTTCCAACTAATTGCATATGAAATCATGATATGTGTTATGTTATTGTCTCTATAAGTTATTTTGTAAATTTCGTTATGATAAGTAGCCGGTAAACGATTTTGTTTATAATAAATGAATTTGCTTAATTAAGAGCTCAATTAGTTATTTTGATTTTTCTATCAACCTTCATTTCTGTGTCGGTGAGTAGCGTGATATTTTTACTGAGGTAGTGTAGCTCATTCATTTATTAACAATTTCATATCAAGAGGATCAGGATCCAGATCCTGATCCACAAGAGGATTGCGAGTAGGATGCCAGTTTTATTTATTGTTTGTTTATTTCCTTAATTTTTTTTTTTTGTATTTCTTTCAAATGGTAATTCTTATAACATTATTTGGTATTTTAAGTTATTGTATAAGAAATAGAACGTCTAACTAATTATTTCGCTTCCGCACTTAATTTATGATTTATTTTTATTTTTTGAAAATTCTAAAATCGTATCTAAAGTGATACGGGTCGAGTTTCCAACCCTAATACGGACTATTAATAACCCACGCAC